TTTTTTACTTTTACATGTGATAAACATGAGCAAAAAACCGCCGGTTTACCGCGGTTTTACCGGTCCGGTTACCGGCTCCCATTACCGCAGAACGGATAAATACCGCGGTTTACCGCAAAAAATGATCCGGTATTCGCAACATGGGTAAGCTAAGTTTTAGAATTTCTACGAAAAACAATCAATATAAGATATGACTCTGAGGTATAGACCCATATTCATACTTACAATCACAAACTATCTACTTGGTATATTTCAATCTTGTTTCTCCTTTTGAATTTGATCCCATATACATAAGTGCGATAAAAACATGATCATATGATTGAAAAAGTCTGTCGCTGAGTTTGGAACGTTTTCAATGCATGATATTAGTAATCCGTTGACTGGAGAATTTCTTCTTGGTATACCATAGTACTTACTAAATCTAATGCGAATAATTTCTATTACCAACGAATTTTGAGACCTTAGCCTGAATAAAAGAAGCCACAAACATATATTGTCTTTTCTTGACTGAGTTGTACAAAAACGTTTAACTTTGTTGACTCACTTATAGACTATAAAATGTATTGGTGCATAATATTATCAGAATATCATGCTCAGGAACTATTCCAATAGAGCAGTGCATTGATCCTAGGATTCGCCATGATTTCACATTTACAATCTAAGGATCCCTTCTGTTTATCTCCACTCTTTCTCAGCATAGCTAGCATTAGAAAAGCGACTGAATTGGCCCTATTTTTCAATGACTCTCTCGATATAAGCGAGAGTTAGTTGTCGCCTCATTTGCAATCAACCATCAATATGTATAAAGCATAAATCTTTCATAAACACCAGTCTCATTTCACGCCGCTAATGATACGTTCTGTATACATAATATCCAACCGGATTCATTTATCTGGAAACGCAATAATTTCTGCAATAGTGTCCCTACAACGTGCCCCCATATCTCTCGACTAGTTACTGAACAGTCCATTTAGATCTAACAACCGACTCGACCATTTCCCAACAAAAAGCAGCTACAACCATAGAAACAGCTATTGACAATGAACCAGGTTATCGTACGAGCATAAATCCATACACCAGACTAAACAAAGGAGTACTACAGCCTATCAGCTATACTTTGGGCGATTCCACAATAAGTACACGTTCGAAACGCTTAGAAAATTCATCTATGATCAATGTTTCTACAACAACCGACGGTAACACAGACTGCTACACGGTTTGCTATTCAGAAACAGCGGAAAATACGATCAGTATTTTCACTACAGCACAAACCGATTCTACATCAACTAGCACAACAACAACCACCTCCTCAACAACAATCACTACTGAGTCAACAACAACCACTACGGGGCCAACAACGACCACTCCTGAGTCAACAACAACCACTACTGAGACAACAACAACCACTACGGCGCCAACAGCAACTACTACTGCGCTAACAACAACCATGACTGTGACAACAACAACCACTACTACACCGACAACAACTACTACGGCGCCAGCAACAACCACGACTGAGCCAATAACAACAACTCTTGAGTCAACAACAGTCACTGCTGATCTAACAACTACCACTGCTCAGCCAACAACAACCACTGCAGATTGTTATACTGTTTGTTTTTCTACAACAACGGCTAGAGTTCCTACCGCTACTACTACATTTACTGATAATTGTAACGATTCCATCGAAATATTACAAGGCGATACGTGCATTTCGAAAAACATTCTGCAGGTTTAAAAGTGTACTATGATTATCAGTTTTATATTATTTTTTCTCTCTTGCAGATATCTGCTGTGAATACTTTACGTAACGCAACCGCCAATGCAAACACAACAGCTGATGCGCTCTCCTTGTATTTCAATTCCATTGCGAGCCCTAGTGCATTGTCAGATTCTCAATATGTTTTGTCTCCTTATGATATTGACAGCTATGTTGATAGACTGAAAAATGTAACTTTGATGCGAAATACTAAGGCATCATTTATCCTAGCTCAAGATATCAGTCAATTTGCTAACATACAGAGAGTTGGTGCTACATTTACCCGTGGCATTGGTGGCGCAGGTGTTGGCATTCCAAATGGGATTGATACTTTCAGTTCCACTGCAACAGTTGCAGCTTTGCTTGAATCGAAATCATTATCAGATGTGAAATCGTTTAGTATGTTAATAATTGATAGCCCTAACACATACAGGAATATTGATAATTCTACCAAGCGAAATCTGGTATCATCAGTTATTGTTGCGGCAGTGCAAAGAGATATTACTTCATCAAACGCAATTAATATTTCTCTATACTTTCAAGTCCTACCGGAATATAAACCCTCAGGTTTTCCTGAGTACTTTTGCTCATTTTACGACACAACCTATCAAAAATGGA